TCACTAGAAAAATAAGCATTTGACAAAACTTCATCAAGTCATCCAAATCGACGTATCACGCACTACTAAGTACCGACACTTGAAAACTAGTATTTATACCCAAAATCCCTAACTAAATAACTAACTATAAACTAAATAATAAATACCTAATCAATCCCTAAATCCAAAATCCTAACTAACAGTAACCTAAACCCTAACTACCTAACCAAACCTTAACTATACTACAACACACAACCTCAAACCTAAAAACTACTCCCTCCATCCCAAATTATAAGTCATTCCAATAATCTTGGAGAGTCAAACTTTTTCAAGTTTGACTAAAATTATAGAGAGAAACACAAAGATTGATGACATCAAATAGGTATAATATGAAAATATAACTAATGAAGAATCTAATGATACTTACTGGGTATGATAAATATTATTATTTTAATTTGGTCAAACTTGAAAAACTTTGACTCTCCAAGATTCTTGAAATCTTACTAACTATCCAAATCATAAACAAATTCACCAAAATCAATAATAAGCATAATAACATGAAATCGAAAGGGAAGTACCTTGAGCGGGTGGTCGTGTGCCGCCGGCGTTAAATGGCGTGGCGCGCAAGCAAGCGGCGGGCGTGGAATGGCGGAAGGCCGCGCGTGGCGGGGCGGCGCGCGTGGCGTGCGTGCGTGCGGCAGCGAGCGGGCGGGCGGGCTCGCTCGCGATATTTATCTGGACCTGCCGCACCATGCACCGTGGCGCGTCAGTTCCGCGCTAAGATCGGTGGCGCGGCAGACCCTACCACGTCACCGGTCAACAGCGCCGATCATCGCTACGTCAGCCTTCTGCCACGCCATAGTGCATGGCGCGACACAGGCGTTCGCTGCGTCATGGCAATAGGCGCGGCCAAAAGTGTTAGTTTTGAAAAAAAACAGTGTTAGATTTAAAATTAGTTTAAAAAAATGTTAAAAATATAAAAAATCACCTGACGGTGCTGTCGTCGTCGGGAAATGAAGCGGGCCCGGCGGAGAACGCAGTCCCAACATCATGCGGCCCCGGACCCTCCGTCCCGTCCGTGGAAGTAGTAAAGCCCGGCCCATCATCATCCCCCACACAACACAGTGACACACTGACACACAATGACACGAACGAATCTCGCGTGGGTCTATCTCGCCTCCCCGTGCACCGGCAGCCGCCCATGTGCCGCCGCGTACGTGGGGCGTCGGTGGTGGCCGCGCGCGCGGCGGATCCGATTCCGATCCGTCGACCCCCCAGCGACGAGGGCCGAGCGCGGGAAACGACGCTCCGGACGGAGCCTGCGCGGGCAAGGCCGAGGGCACGGGCAATCAATACGCGATCCCCGGCGGCCGGCCCGGGTGGGAGGCGAGTGGGACGACGAATCCAATCGTCGCCTCGCCGGCCGGCCGTAGCGCCGCCTTGAATGGCCGTTAAATGCCCGCCGTCGCATCGCATGCATGCATGCATGCATTTATGCTCGGTCATTTAAACCTGCTTCCCGGTTTACTAATTGATGCTGTATCAGTATAAGAGCAAGTGTAATAATATAGTCGGCTGATAGCTATATAAATCCCTACAGCCTATCTCTCAACCCACATATATATCTTCATTATTAATACATGATCTACTTGTCTTTCTCACAGAACTTCTTAGTTCCTTGTCTAAGCCGGCTGTAAGCTTACAGCTCACTTATCTCTCTCACGGAGTTTTTTAAGTTCTTGTGTCAAATCGGCTGTAAGTTTACAACCCGCTTCTCCTCTTTCTCATTCCCTCTCTCTCTCCTCCGTATCAGTATAGGCCTTTGTATAGATAGCTGTTAGGAATCAGTATTTGACATTGTAGCACTTTCGTTTGTATTTGATAATTATTGTCCAATCATGGCCTAACTAGGCTCAAAAGATTCGTCTCGTAATTTACAATCAAACTGTGTAATTAGTTATTTTTTTATCTACATTTAATACTCCATGCATGTGTCTAAAGATTTGATGTGATGGAGAGAGAGTGAAAAAACTTGGAATCTAAACAAGAGTCTGATCGCCCGGCCGGCCTGCATGCGTAGCCGCGTGTATATACGTACGAGATGCACGCGAGAACACGCAGGTACAGCACAGTATACCGCTGCTAAGCGGTAAGCGCGCGTAGCAGTACGTACGTATAGTACTCTATCTCGACTCTCGTTGCAGGGTGGTGAGCAACCGCCCGTGTAGCGGTGTAGGTGTGTACTGCTACTGTAGTAATAACCGGCCGGCCGCGGCTACCCTCGTTCCGTTCGTTTGCACTTGTTTAACTTATAAGTAGTATTTTTTTAATTAATAAATAGTATTTTTCTCTTACGCTAAATCAGTCAACGATATTTTCAATCATGTCTTATCAGCCAAACAGACCCAAATTATCGGGGCGAATGTTACGCCGCAGCCGCACGAACGATGATGGATCTATTTACGCGTTTGCAAGCGATCTGGGTAGTACTGTAGCAGTCCCGCACGTACGGCCGCACGTACGCATATACTTGTAGGCGAGGTACTTGTAAGTTTGTACAGACCTTGTGCGTCATGTTACGTATATATACACAATACACTTATATATAGCGTGGTATGGCTACCGCGCGCGCGCTGGCGGCCCTGACGTACTGGACGAGTGGTTCCATCGATCGTCCACCACCTCCATGTCCGATCCGTGCGTGATCCGTCCTAGCAGGCACAACTACTCCATTCTGGTGACTGACAACACGGGCGCGTCCTATGCTCTCCATGTCAACGCGTCATCGCCTCCTGCTCCGCTCCGTCGCATCGCGTTTAATTTGCTGTGCACTACTACACCGTCTACACGTACGTACACGTGGCAGAGTCTTGATGCCATGCATGCCGCACCATTCATTCAGAAACAACAAAGCACGTACAATCAGAAACAAAGCAGCTACTACTCGCATGTAGTAGTACCTTCGTTGTCGCCCATCACATGGTCTTGCTCATCATCAACTGATAGAAATTTTTCCAAGTACTTATTACTCTCTTCGTCCCGAAAATAATACAGTTCTATCATGTATATGTCAAACAATCTTAGCTTGAATTAATTTTATACCAATCTTTATGATATGAAATAAGTGTCATCTAATCTACTTCGTAGTGCAATTGTGTATGTCCATAGATCTATTTAGTATCATAAATATTGATATTTTTTTAAAATGTCAAACTTTACTTAGTTTGACTAGGAATAGAGACAAAATCGTATTTTGTTTGGCAGGGCTCTAGCTTTAGATAAAATGGCTTTGGTTCCAGCTTGTCTCGTGGAACAACTTATAACAGATTGAGGATAAAATAGCTTTGGTTCCGGCTTCTCTGGTGGAATAACTTCATTTTGTTCCGGCTTCATCTAACAGATCAGAGTATTGTTTAGTAAATCAGCTTCTCATTGGACCTACTTCATGCATGGCTCCAATTGTCATTGGATTAACCCTTTTATTCCTTTAATTTCTCTCCTCCTCCTCCTCCTCCTCCCGCATCTCTCTCACCGTTACCTCCCCACCCTAAAATTCTCTCGCCTACCGTTGCCCCAATTCTCGGCACGATGACATCGACCCTTCACCACCGCGCTCACCGATTCATTTCAAGAAGAATTTGGATCAATAGCCAAACGTTTCACCGATTCTTACCAAGTGATTCTTATTTCAACGTAGAAACGTTTCTGGAGAGAATCTTGATCTTCTAGGAGAATTTAGATCCCTACCAAACGGGACCTTAGTATTCTATGTTACAGATAAAAAATGGAGTTTAAAAAAAAGATAAAAATGTTTCATAAAAAGATAAAAAAGGGGAAGACACCACAGAGCGGTAGTATAAATTCACACACAGAGAGAGAAGGCTTTGACAGTTTCACTAGAGGTAGCAGCGGCACGCCACCGAGAATTACCGAGTGCTTGCAGAGTACTACTCAGGTCGTATCGCTTCGTTGCATTGCACGACGCAGAGGATCACTCACGCCTGTAATCATCAGTTGCTGCTTGTGCATGGGCGGGGCCCACTTGCATTTGCCGCCGCCACCTCCATTTTGACCCACATATATCTATCAGCCATGGCTGGCCATGGGAACAGCCCGTGCCGTGCCTCTCGCAGCCATTCCCTCCTTCCCCTCTCCCTCCCCAACCACAGGAACCAAAAGCTACCAATCTCTCCATCCCTTGCGTTCCATGCACCATGCCGTGAGCAGTGGCGCCCGCTGGAGAAGAGACGGAGGGGGAGCTGGTGTGGACTGTAGTGACTGCTGAGCTTGCTTGTGTGGGGGTAGGAAAGAGAGAGTCAGAGAGGGAGACAGGTGGCTTGGTTCATCTGAAACAGTCGCCATCTCTGCCTGCTTTTCAGCTCCTTTGCTTGCTTTCCCTGCACATCTCTTTTGTTTTGGCCTGCCCTTCCCTCCATCTCCATCCATCCAAGCCTGCCGCCTCCAACTCCCTATCCTCCTTTTGCTTTCCCACATCTTTGCTCCAATAATGATGGGCTGGTGGTGGTGGTGGGTTTGGTCGTGACCCTGCCGCTGCCGCTGCATCCCCACCCTCGCCGCTACCTCCCCCAAATCCACCGGCCGCTTGCTTTCCTCTCCTCTCCCTTCCATCATCCCGGCTCGCCAGGCGCCACCCCCTCCTTTTCCTCTTTTCAGCTGCAGTTGGGCAGCAGTAGGTTGGTTCTGCTTGCCTTCCCCTCCCCACATCCCTTTTCCTTGCTGGGGATCGGGAGGCCTTCATCAAGCCATCTTCCTCCCTGCTGTCCACATCTCGCTCCTTGTGCGGGGTGGTGCCGGCTGGTGGTGCCGCTACTGCTAGCTAGGAGCCCAATTTCTTGATAGGATTGGTGCGTGCCAACCACAGGTTTGTCCTGTTGGCTTTGCTTCTCGGCCCAGCGGCTGGTGCTCTGCTCTGCTGGGAGCACCAACTGCAGCGTGTTCTTGCGCCGGTTTGGTTTCTTGCCGTGAATTGGGTCGAGATTGGGAGGCTCTCTCCCGTTCCGATGAGGCTAGATGAGAGAAAAGCTGCCGTGGGGAGGGTGAGGGACCAGTTCCCCGTCGGCATGCGTGTCCTCGCCGTGGACGACGACCCCGTGTGCCTCAAGGTGCTTGAGAACCTCCTGCGCCGCTGCCAGTATCATGGTAAGGATTTCCGCGACACGGCGGCAGCGCTGTCATTTTCTTTTTTGCGGCCTGCTAGTAAGCCTAGTATATTTCTGGTTCAGTGCTGTTAGATTTCTATTTTTCCTGGATTTTGCTGAATTATCTGCTTCCAGAGTATTAAAAAAATGCTGTTGTGTAATTGTGTTATACTAGCTGTTACAGGTATATATTATGTATGCACTTATCATGTGTAAATTCTTGCCGCAGCTACAGATTTGTTTACATCAAATGATGAAAATAGTTAAGCACTGAATTGTTGACCTCACTATCACCATGTAACTGAATGCTGCATTTTTGGGGGGCTTTTACTACAAGTTGTTAGGTAGTTTCTCATGCAGTATGTACAAGATGCTTGTTATGGCTTTTGCTACAGCTACTCATCTGTAAGACCGGATTGTTTCGTATTTGCAGTGACAACGACGAATCAGGCTGTTGTCGCCTTGAGGATGCTGAGGCAAAACAGGGACTTGTTTGATCTTGTTATCAGTGATGTGCACATGCCAGACATGGATGGCTTTAAGCTTCTGGAGCTTGTGGGGCTCGAAATGGACCTCCCTGTCATTAGTAAGTCCAAAATGCTATATCTTACTGGTGGCCGACTCTCACTGCAGCTTTTACTTAATGATATTCTTATACTATCTGCAAAGCATCCATGCCATACAGCAAATCTTAAGCTTGTATTGGAGGAATGCAAAACTTGCTAACCAGTCATTATCCATGCAGTGTTATCGGTGAATGGTGAGACAAAAACTGTAATGAAGGGGATTACTCATGGCGCCTGTGACTATCTCTTAAAACCTGTTCGGCTGGAAGAGCTTAGGAATATCTGGCAGCATGTTGTTAGAAGGAAATTCAGTAACTGTGAGCGTGCTAACATTGATGGTTATGAGGAGTGGACTAGGCCATCAAATGCAGATTTTGATCATGTACACAGCCAAACACCTGACCAATGTGGAAGGCCCAGCAAGAAGAGGAAGGAATATCATAGTGAAGAGGAAGATGAAGGAGAAGAGAGTAATGGCCAAGAGAACGATGATCCTTCAGCTCCAAAGAAACCAAGGGTTGTTTGGTCAGTTGAACTACACCGAAAATTTGTTGCTGCTGTCAATCAGCTAGGAATTGACAGTGAGTCCCACTGCCACCCGCTGTTCTTTTTTCAGCTTTGCTGCTGTTAAGTTATTTACCACGGTCCATTCTACAACCTAATCTTTTCTGTTGATGCAGAAGCTGTGCCAAAAAGGATACTTGAGCTCATGAATGTTGAGAGACTCACCAGGGAAAATGTTGCAAGTCACCTGCAGGCAAGACACTTATGGACTTAACCCCACTTTGTTCAGTTTAGCAAGTACTGGTAACTCAAGAATTGTGGTGTTCAGTAGTGTGGTTCACCAGTACGTGTAATAAGGATAGCATTAAATTTTTAGTTTCCACTGTTCAGAAGATGTGTGGCTTAACTTTTCAAGCTATCTGGCATTAGGCTCTGTAAAAATATGCAAGTGTCCTGGAGCTTTTGAGCATGAAAAAGTGCTAATAGATTGTTTGCTCACACATTATTATTGTGAACTACTACAAGAAAGCCACCTCACCCCCCTGATTAAGCAAAGACATACCTGTTTTAGGCATATTATGCAGTGGGAATTCGTGACAAGTACATATATTTATTGATTGAAGTTCTTTGGTTTTTGCTGATTCAGTCTTATAAACGTGGAAGAAAGGACACAGTTTGTTCCATAGCTCCATTTTCAGTTTATCGTGTAATGATTTGGATTACATCTTGCATACATAGTGAAGCTGAAAAGGACTCAGCTTTCATATCTCGAATGCAAAATTGGCCCTCTTGTTACTGTACATGTCCAATAGTAAACAAACTACACATCTAAACTGTTTGCTTTTGTGTGCCATGCAGAAGTATAGACTCTATCTTAAACGGCTAAGTGCTGTGGCATCGCAACAGGCTAGCATTGTTGCTGGTTTGGGAGGCAACGACCCCTTTATGTGGATGGGTGCATTTGAAGGACTCCAGGGTTATCAATCTTTTGCCTCTTCAGCAGCTCTGCCATCTTTTAGTCCACAGGGGTTGTTAAATAGAAATAATCCAACATCATTTGGAATTCAAGGGATGTCTGCTTACAGGCCAATTCAGATTGCAACCGGCAATTCCACAATAAGTCATTCCATTGGCGATCCAAATAAATATCACCTTAGCCTACCAGGTACTAGTAGCCGACAAGGAAATTTGGCACAAGGTTTGACAACTTCAGTTGGGCAGGTCCAGCTGACACAAAAGTGGTTTCATGAAGAAACTGACGATCTATCTACTATCCTTTCTGTGAGTGGCCGGGCTAATAATGGCGTGCCTGGCACACTCCAAAGCGTCACAAATAGTCATTTGCTGCAGCATGGCCTTGTTGAATGTAGACAAGACAAAGTTGTTATCCAGCCATCTTCATCTGGAAGTTCAGATCGTCTTGAAGGCACTGTTGGAGTTTCCTCCAGTCTGATGGATTCTTGTGCATCCCAGCAGAGGGTTGTTCCATTGTCTGCCTTTTCTACCAGTGCATCGCCAATGAATGGCTCGTTTTGCAGTAACGACATAGCTGAGTTGGGTGCTACGTCCTCTGGAGGTACAAATATTTGCCCCTCCAATGACCTCAGGGTAGCAAGAGACAACAAAGTGGGAGCTACCTCTTTTGGTAATGTGATACTTTTGTCTCCAGACACTGTGCCAAACCAAAAATACTTGAATTTTGGTGGTGGAAGCAATTTGAGGCAGAGCATGGATGGAGGGAACACAGACAATCTGTTGAATCCCAAGTTCATATGGAGTTGTTTGCCGACCTCTCAACCACCGAATCTTATCGGAAGTCATCATCCCATGAGCCAAAGACCAAATAACGGAAACCTTGGTGGCACAATGGTTGGACAGACAACAGCAAGTGCTTCAACAGCTGCTCCACAGACGAGGATCGACATGTTTATCTCCGGAGACACACCGACTCCAAAGAGCGCATCGGATTTGAGCTTCCCTAGGGTCCACAGCGAGCTTAGCTCTAGCAGCTGCAGCTTCGACGGCCTCCTCAACTCCATAATCAAAGTGGTAAGGAAGCTCTTGTTATGTTTCCCAACTAGTCTGTGCAGGGTTCGTCTTCTGACGAAAGGAAGGAGTACCTGCTACATTTCATCTAACAGCAGTGCTGATCCCCGTGCAGGAGAAGGACGATGCTTCCTTCAGCGATGACCTGGGATGTGACTTCTACTCCCTGGGTGCCTGCATATGATCGCCACCTTCCACATATCTGCATCTGTGTTCATCTCTCATTGTATGCTGTGCAGCTAGTGTTAATCTTAGGTAAAATTGTAGCTGTGCGCCTATCTATGCTGCTCACAGCCAAGAAAATACAGTAACTACTAGGTCTGTTCTGTATGTAATGTGCTAGCAGTAAGATATCTGGATTCTGGAAGGTAATGTCCATTTGCTAAACTGAGCTAGAGACACTGTGTTGACGCAAATTCCGGTCACACGTTAGCAAGAGCTAGATCGTTCGGGCAGCAACGGCTGAAACACGCAGAAGAGGGAGGTCTAAACGGCAAGGCTAACTAGTAGGTCGACAAGGCCACAACACGCAGCGGAGGTCTGTCAACTTGATAAACCCATGAACGCTTCCTGTCAAGACCTCTCGGGAGACACACAGTGAGGTGTTGGGATGTGATCGGTTGGGCTAATCTCGAACTTAATTACTAGATTAATTAAGCATTAAGTTTTTTGTCCACCTGTCATTTATTTCTAACTAAATAAGATCCGCGTGATCGGCGGCAACCCTTAGATATTCTAGGGTTCGGCCTCCTGACCCACAGTGCATCTATAAATAAGAGAAGACACCCCTAGCGGCTCCATCCACGTGAAACAAATCACACAACCTGTCAATTAGGCGTTGGAGGGTCTAGGAAGGTCATATCCCACGTCCATCTCGTCTAGATACATCTCGGCGGTGTCCAGAAGGCCACCGCTAACTGGTTCCTCACGTTCTTCACCAACAGAGGACATTCAAGTCCTCCGGTGGTGAACTCAAATCATCTGCTACATCTACGACCTCCATCGCATCTCCAGCGACATAGATGGCGTCCACAGGCTCTGGTTAGTATCTAAGATTAGTTTCCGCATTAAGATGGGTTAGTGATCATGTTTATGCTAAGTTCTAATTCAACATGAGGGTGTCCTATAATCAACAAGGCCACCTCGCCAGCTACCAAGTTGACGAGGTCGTGAGGGTGTCCTAAAATTGGCAAGGCCACCGCCCACAAATCTGGGGGGGGGGGGTGTCCTAGAATTGGCAAGGTCACCTAAAACATCCACAATCCCATCGAGGGACACATGTAGGATAGCGAGGGGATTGGAAGAGATATAAGGAGTAAAAAGTAGAGATTGATTCACTTTGATAAACCAATCAGCTTCGGGATCATGGAAACTCTTCTTGGATGTATCCATAGTGGGATAGAACTGCATGGATAACAAAGAGAAAAAAGGACCAAGACGATGGACTTGACTAATCTGTTCATTAGAGAAAATAAGTACTGGTTTCTTATGCACACTTCTATTGCACCTAATCTGGGCATATTTGAGTTCTAATACACTCTAATGATGACTTTCATACACTGCTATGTTCTAAAATCAAATGGGACTTCCCTCGGGCAGTCAACCAGATAGATTGTGTGTGTTCACAATACACTTTAGTATGTTGCAGCAGCTGTCATTGCGTCTCCACGCACTACCAGTACATTCGCTGTTTTAAATTGCATCAATTGAGGTGGATAGCCTGGTTGCACAAGTGCAGATTTTATTGTGCATTTGCTCGTACCTGGATAAGCAGGGCGGCTGCTTCAATCTTGTTTCTCTGAAAATATGGAAAGGAACTCGACATCTTTCATTCTGTATTTTCTAGGTTGAAGCACCAATTTGTGATGGAAGGCATCATTGCATCAAGGGGCTGTAGCGGGTCTCTCTGAAGCGTGGAATAGATTATCGACATCGTACAATCAGCACACAGATGTGTATGCCAAGAAGAAAACCCAGAAATGAGGGCAAATGAACTTACATGATAGACATCACATTTTGGCTAATTGAAAGCAAAAGCAAAGTTTATGCAGTTTACTGGATGGAACCATTAGCATCGCAGCTCACCAAATCAAGCAAGAGGCTACTAGAGCTCGTGAAATTGTATATTTGTAAGACATGGGAATTTCGTCGAACACATGGTCACTGGTCGGCAAGCCTAGTACGGGAGGATGAAGACCAAATTGCAATCACTTTGCTACGACGATTAACTCGCCTAAGCTGAACGGCGTGAGCCTGGCGCTGTATCTGCAACACTCTATTGCTTGTTTTGATATCAGGGAAGAAGTTTATCTGGGTAGTTGGTTACTGGATGGAACCATTAGCATCGCAGCTCATGAAATCAAGCAATAGGCTATTGGAGGCCGTGAAATTGTATATTTGTAAGACATGGGCATTTTGTCAAACACATGGTCACTGGTCGGCAAGCCTAGTACGGGACGATGAAGACCAAATTGCAATCACTCTATATCCGCTATACTCTGTTGCTTGTTTTAATATCAGGGAAGAAGTTTATCTCGATAGTTGTATAGTGAGTTCAATATTTACATTAAATGATTGAGCTAGCTCTTGAGCCTTATTTACATCTTCCAAGTGGACGGTATGCCCCCTTTGTTTATGGGTTAGTGGATTAGAATGAGAGAGAGATTTAGTCTTGTAACGGAAAAAAAGAAGCTTTCAATAAACTTACCAATGGCAGCTGTTAGACCTCTAGCATAAGAATCTGCAGTAAATATTATTATTTTTGTCGGCAGACAATGAGACAAGCACGCTGAGGCATTTCATCGAATGGCTGGGAGGCAAGGAAGGGAACTGTGACAGAATAAAGAGAGGGACACTGGACACACGAGCAGCATTGGAGAGAGGAAGTATGGGAGTGGGCCGGACCTGGATGGGTTGATTCTAAAACTGAGCCTGGAGCCCATTTGCGTGTTGTTAACACACTGATGGCCTAAACGTAAACCGTTTGATTGAGTAATGACACGTTGTATTCATGTAAACAAATTCAAAAGTTCAAAACAAATTGGGAGATTTGAATTTGACGCTCAGCTGCTGCCGAACCCAATGCCAACTCGACCTGACCGCCACACAAGTCAACGGCAACTGATTTATTGAAAGAGAAAAATACCGTAGATTAGCTCATAAGCCTGGTAAGTTCAAGCCGGCTGAAATCACACGAGTCCACGACAAACCAGGCCCACGGGCGATGGCCGCTGCCGTGCCCATGCGCCTCGCCGGCCTCCTCGGCCTCGGCCTCGCCTCCCGCACGCGACCAAACCCTAAGCCACACCTCTCCTGCGCCTTCTCCTCCTCGACCATCTCCGCGCCTCTCGCGGCCGACCGGGTCCGCGAGGATGAGAGTGGCCTCCTCTCGCGGCGCCTGCTCCGGCTCCGCTTCCGCTCGCCGCGCGGGGCCGCCGCGGCTGCCATCGAGAGATGGGCCCGGGAGCGCGTCCACATCTCGCAGCCGGAGCTCCGTCGCGCAATCGCGATGCTCCGGCGCGCGCGCCGCTACGAGCACGCCCTCGAGGTGAGTAGTGGAACTTTTGGGTTCTCCTGGCTCTTGTTTTTGTCAACGCACTGACTGTTACTGTATCATTTGAATTAAGGATCTAATCTAATAAAACGAACGAGGAATGGGAGTTCAGTGACACTATTTCTGCCCCTTTCTATAGACAATTGGAATAATTTTTGCATTCTTGGCCTAAGCATTGTCAGATTGCGATTGTCAGATTGCAAGTGTAGTCTGATCTGGAGTTTTTCTTCTGAGCTGATTGTTACACACATTCAAGTGATAAATTCGATTTGTTATTTCTAATTTTTATTGCAAATCATGTGGTACTGATTCGTTAAAGAGTTGATAGCAAGGGGCACCTATTTCTTATGTTCGATCATGACCCTGAAGCTTGGGATACGAGGGTTTAGCAGCTTGGCTGTTATGTTATTGACAGCATTGGTATAGGATATTCCGTAGCATATTAAAGGGTACACCGGCTAAACAAAGTTACATTGTGCTGCAGATTTTCTCTTGGATGGAATCATGCAACTCTCTTCAACTGTCGTCATGGGATCATGCAGCAAGACTGGACTTGATTGCTAAAGCTTACAGTACTTCTCAAGCTGAGGAATACTACAACAAACTACAGAGCCCTGCTGCCAGACAAGCTGCATCGTTCCCTCTCCACTGCTATGTTACAGAAAGAAATGTACAGAAGGCTGAATACTTCATGGCCCAGTTGCAGAGTCACGGGTTACCTGTAGATCCTCACTCATTCAATGAAATCATGAAACTCTATGTTGCAACCTGTCAGTATGAGAAGGTCCTTAGTGTTATTGACCTCATGAAACGGAACAACATTCCCAGAAATGTTCTCTCCTACAACCTTTGGATGAATGCTTGTGCTGAAGTCTCTGGTGTTGCCTCAGTACAATCAGTGTTCCAGGAGATGTTGAATGATGAGACGGTCGAGGTTGGTTGGAGCACATACTGCACACTAGCCAACATTTTCAGGAAGAATGGACTGAACACTAAAGTGCAAGCTTGCCTTAGGAAAGCTGAAACAAAACTGTCACCAACAGGGCGCTTAGGATACTCTTTTGTAATGACATGTTATGCGGCTCTGAATGACAGCGATGGAGTTATGAGATTGTGGGAGGCTAGCAAAAGTGCGCCAGGTAGAATCCCCACTGCAAACTACATGACTGCTATGTTATGTTCAATAAAAGTTGGCGACATCAGCCAGGCCGAGTGGATCTTTGGAAGCTGGTAAGGAGGGTGCAGGAAGCATGATGTGCGGGTTTGAAATGTTCTTCTTGGTGCTTATGTGAGGAATAGGTGGATTGAAAAGGCTGAGAGGCTCCACCTCCACATGCTAGAGAAAGGAGCATGTCCAAATTACAAGACATTGATGGAGGGTTATGTTCAGAGTAGGCAGATGGACAAAGCTGTGGGTTGCATGAAGAAAGGTTTGTCTCTGTTGAAGAGTTGCCATTGGAGACCTCCACTTGAACTGATGGAGGCCATTGGCAAACATTTCGAAGAGCAAGGAAATTTTGATGATGCATATCGATACATTAAGGTTCTCCGGAGGTTTAACTTGACAAGCTTGCCCCTGTATAAGTCATTGATTCGAGCATATATCAATGCTGACGTTGTGCCACCGAATATCCTTGAGATGATTGCAAAAGATCAGATTGATATGGACGAAGAAATGGACCGGTTGATCATACTTGCTGGCAAGATAGATATCACATGCAATGGATAGTCTTTAGCTGGAACAGGCAATCACCAGTCAAATGATAAATATCATTCATTTGACTTTGTCAATTAGAGCTGCAAAGTGAAGAGCGGCAAGTTGAACCTGCAAATTACTAGATACAAAAAAAGGCGCTCCTGGAGACCCTGTTTGGTGTTCCTGCAGTCATGCTAATCTGAACAACTCCATCTTCTTGGGAATCTTACAGTGTATTTGGAAAATGTGGAACATGAAGGTATCAGTGTATCACCTGATGACCTGAACCAGCACAGAAGAATGCTTACAGCTCTCAAGGATCACCTGAACCTCTGGACTATCAGAACCTCATCGAACCTGAATCAACATTCCCTAGTCATTACCTGTAATTAGTGGTGCAACCAGTTTTATGATGCAAGCACATAGCTTGCTTATTTGTTTCTCAAAATCACTATCCACGAAAAGCTGGTTTGCAGCCACGTAACATCTCCGTGTAACATCTCTCTTATGAATTGTTCTGGGAGAATTTCCCACTGATCAGTCTCCAAAAACGTGCTTCGGCAGTGGGTTTGAACAAAGTGAATTGCAAATTTGGTTTCATTCTCAGAAGTACTTTTGCATACAAATTTAGAGTTAGTGTGTAACTGGCAAAATAGATGAGCCAGAGAATGCAGCCTTTTGTTTTCGTTTTTCAGTAATGTTATTTGGAAATCAACTTTAATACCTTTTCATCTTTTATTATAGAAAGCTTAACATCGATACATTACTTGCTCAAGTCATTAATATAGGACATTTAGACAACCAAAACAATCTAAAGCTTGTTTATTTTATTTGTGCAACCGAAGCATCCTTTTTTTTTTAGTGGGGTGGGGTGGGGGGAGTTCAAAAGTTAGCACTCATGCCATTAGTGATGTATCCAGATAATTACAGATTAACAGGTACCGGGAAACTATGTTTTGCAAATCCTAGGAAAAATCAAAGTTCATGATAACCTTTAGGTGTGATGTATGGAGGTTTTATGAATCTGGTGTAAATACCAATCTTGCATAGTGCCAATTCAGGAACCTCACTCAGCCTTATACAAGGGTGTCACTTGTAACCATTACAAGATCCAAGGGGATAATAAGCAGGCAGAAGGCAATGGCCAAGGTGAACAATATCAGCCGCATCAATAATAGATGATAATCAACATAAAGAGCAGGCTAAGCAAAAAAATTAAAACGATCTAACCTTAACGACCACCAACCCTGGCCCAGATGCAGGCTAATTCAAACTGAACCTTTCCTCAATGGAGATGGTATACTGGGATATGGAATCTTTAAGAGGCAGATGTAAAAGTAATAAGGCAAATGATCCAGACGATCTACCGGGATCAACAACGACACGAAACATGGGCAAAATGAACAGGCCAAAGTGCCAGGTGAAAAGGGAAGGCACAATCAATAAGTACCACAACAATTGACAGTCAAATATTCTAAAAGCAGGGGAAAAAAGACAAGCAGGATGCATCTGGCAATGAAATTGCCCTGAAAGTGCTCGAATGATCAGCACAAGATATACAACAACAGTAATAAAGATAAAAGAAAACGAATTGAATGCAATGCACATTTGTACTTTGGCAGTAGATGCACATTTATATATGCAATGCACATTTGTAAACTTGCATCAGCATCAATAAATATATCTCAATGGCTCAGGACATTTTTATTAGATACACCGTGTATCATGGAGAGAAGTGTCCAAGAAGAAAATAAGCCGCTGAATGTTCAGTGCATAGTTAGAAAGAATAATTCTAAAAACATATATAATACTCCCTCCGTTCTAAAATGTAGGTTAGTTTTTCCTAAGACAAACTTCTCTAACTTTGACCAAGTATATACAAAAAACTATCAACACTTACAAATACAAAAGAAATACACTATCGAGACATATTTTCATGGTGGATTTAACGTAACTAATTTTGATGTTCTTGATGGTGCATGTTTCTATACACTTGGTCAAAGTTAGAGAAGTTTGACCTAGAACATAACTAAAACGACCTACATTTTGGAAGAATGAGGGCCAGAGAGGGGTTGTTAAACTCTAAATTACTCAAATATTTCAACCTCGAACAATGCTACCTGTAATTGTCCTCATGCAAATATACACTTACATAGACAGAAACTCCAACAGTCAATTGGAGCACTAGGCACTAGCATGAAGGTCAGATTCCATAAACAGATTCTACAAGGCCTTAGTAAAAAACGAAAGAAACATGTCGTGCACAACTATCAAGTGAGAGCTTTCCAAGCTGCTGTTGGGAATTTTTACTGAAATATGTTAGCTCCATCTCATATGGAAGAATACTGGAAAGTAGAAAGTGACTTGCATACACAATTACTGAAACCAGAAGTTTTCAATCAAGATGCATTCAGAATCCTATTTCTGGAAAAGTTGCAGCTTTAAAATGAAATGGGTGATGTGCTTACTCTAAGGATAGATAATGGATTATGAAGTATTAGTCTCCTAAAGTATATTATAGCTGTTTCTTTATTGTGGGAACCTTAAGAGAACCATCCTCAGGCATAGTCATGTGAATGTGGGTGGCATTTTCTCTTGTATAGCATCACCAAGTTTATGCTCACAAATGCTTAGATATTATAACGTAGTATTACACTATTACTCTTTCGAGACAATCAGCTGCTCATATAAAAAGGCATCATATATCAATTCTTTTACCATGAAGATAAAGAAATAAAGAAAATTAAAATAGACTATGGGTCGTACAAATTGTGGCAATGCAAGTATCATGGCTTAATTCTCAGAGGTCATCTTTTACTATTTTTAATCGAGTGTAGTATCTTGCTTGGAGAAAATAAAAATTGAGAACAAAAGCTGAAAGAGCAAAGAGAAATAGCTATTTCAATAATGAGCAACCAGAGAAGACTACATCCCAAATACACCCAAATGAGTGAGACAGACTTAACCTACAGACTTGATGTTTCAGTGAGCCCTCTTGCACACTTGTCACCCTTTCTGTCCTAAATCAATACATTCACAAAGCTAAAATTCAAAGAGAGTGATACCCCTCAATGTGCACTAACACCATTCTCTGCATCGAGCCCGTACAGCACACCTGCATATTTCTCTGTTGAGCCCGCGAAGAATGAATCCTTGAGCTTCCAGAATGCACAGGACGTGACCAGGCTATCGGACCCAGCCTGATGAGCCTCCCCAACACGCTCCACATCAAGTAGCTCAGCGAGCTTGTTCAGCCCGCCGTGCAGGCTGTTGCAGAACTTCATGAGATGCTTGATGTCATACACAGTCGGGAAATATATCTTCATAAGTTTAAAGAACCCGGCTTGTGTGTCTGGGAGGCTATTGCAGGTGAGAATCTTCAGTAGGTACCCGAAGTCGTATCCTGCGTGGAAGGTGACCCAGTATACGGAATCGTTGAGCACAACACCAGAGGACATGAGGAGCTCGGCGAACCGTCGGGCATCGACGCCGCGCTCGGCGTTGCGGCGGAAGTCGATGCCGCTGTGACGGAGCAGTTCGATGGAGTCGGACGCGAAGATGTCGCGCGCGTCGTCGAACTCGCGGAAGTTGAACTGCCAGACGCAGCGGCGGCGGCCAGCACCGAGGACCGGCAGCTCGCCGCGCGGCCCAGAGAAGGTGACGCCGAGCTGGATGAGGTGCAGCATGTCAACATTGGCCTTGAGGGTGGCGTAGTTGTAGTCGGCGGGGGACGCGGAAGGCGCCGACGGGCCGGCAGACGATGCCCGGGAACTCCGTGTCCATCGCGACGAACGGGAACTCGTCGACGATGTCGCGGATCAGCGCGAACTCCTGCTCCAGGTTGTCCGCCCACACCTCCCGGATCTCCACCGACTCGTCGTCGGCCCCGTCTGGCTTTGGGATCACGGTGGCTGTGAGATCTGACATTGCCATGCCAAAGTTCCGACCGAATCTCTCCTAGGGTTTGGTCCGATCGGGGAATTGGGCGAAAGGCTCGAGAAGGGGGCCGAAGCCTCTGGATTTTTAGAGGAGAGACAGGAGGGGTAGGTGTGGTAGCCAAGACAGAAGACGATGCGGCAATACCTCTATCACATATCAACGGCTGAGATCACATCCACATGAAATGTGCAGCGTAGTCTTTCCTTCCTTGCTTGCAAATTCAAATTACAGGCGTGTTTGGATGGTACGCTGGCAAGCGCTACCTGGCCAGACAAGCCATCCTGGTGGTTACAGGCATCCCAAATCAGACGCCTAGTCTTGGCCCAGAGAGCTTTACCAAGCCGATAGCCAAACAAACCTGTATGTGTAAGTGTTGAACTGGACAAAACATGATGGTGCATGTTTACATCTAAAATTAGAACCATTCCGTCGTTATAAACGTGATCAGTATTTGATTCTCCTTATACGATTCATGCAACTACAGAAAAGAAATGTTAATTACCATGATTTTTAAAATGTGCTAGTTGTGACTATTTTTAAGTCTAGAACATGTTTTCAATGTACGTTAGATGGTGGAAAATAATTAGTTTTGAGCAAGAAATAAAACTTTGCCATGTGAAATTTTTAACGGAAATATGACTAAGTGTCACTCAAAATGAACTTGAGTTGGAAACTATGTGTCATCTCATTGTCCTTTGTATAGATTCTAGAAGTTGGTCCGATTGGTAAATTGTATGAAATGTTAGAGAAAGAACAATGCACTTAGAATTTTAGGGAGGTGAGATTAGTCAAATAGACGTGATAGCATGACATGACGGCTCAATAATATCTCTGTCATGTACCAACGACCGAGATCAATTTTCACACTAAATATGTTGCTATAAAAACAACTTTTTCCTTCTTTACATGCAAATTCAAATTCTATGACCTACAATAAAAAGTGGCGGTGCATGTTTAAACCCAAAACTGAAACCAATCTACCATAGAATGAACATGTTGAACTACTAGATATTATCTAGCGCTCCTAATTAAAAAGAAAGCATTGATTACCATGAACTTTTGAAATAGCTAGTTGTGACAATGTTTAGTTGTAGAGCACTTTCCGTAGGTGTGGCAGCCAAGACATAAGACAATGCGACAATACCTCTATCAAACATCCACATCAAATATGCGGCCATAAGGCAGTCTTTTCTTCCTTGCTTGCAAATTCAAATTATGTGCAAGTGTTGATTTGGCCAAAACAGTATGGTGCATGTCTACAGCTAAAATTAGAACCGATCTGCCGTTACAAACGTGATTGGTATTTAATTTTCCTCTTGATTTTAGGGCACCTACAAAAGATAAATGTTAATTACCATGATTTTTAAAAATGTGCTAGTTGTGACTATTTTTAAGTCTAGAACATGTTTTCAACGTACGTTGGATGGTGGAAAATAACTAGTTTTGAGCAAGAAATAAAACTTTGCCATGTGATATTTTTAACAGAAATATGACTAAGTGTCACTCAAAATGGAGTTGAGTTGGAAACTATGGACCATCTCATTGTCCTTTGTATAGATTCTAGAAGTTAGTCTAATTGGTGAATTGTGCGAAATGTTCAAGAAAGAACAATGCACTTGGAATTTTAGAGAGGTGGGCTTAGTCAAATAGATGTGGTAGCATGACATGACGCTGCAGCAATATCTCTGTCATGTACCAATGACCGAGATCAATTTTCACATTAAATATGTTGTTATGAAACAACTTTTTTCTTCTTTACATGCAAATTCAAATTCTATGACCTACAATAGAAAGTGGTGGTGCATGTTTAAACCCAAAACGAAAACCAATCTATCATAGAATGAACATGTTGAGCCACTAGATATTATCTAGCACTCCTAATTAAAAAGAAAGCGTTGATTACCATGAATTTTTAAAATAGCTAGTTGTGACAATGTTTAGTTGTAGAGCACTTTTCCCGTAGGCATGGTAGCCAAGACAATACGACAATACCACTATCACATATCAACTGTTGTACATCAAATATACGGCCAAAAGGCAGTCTTTTCTTCCTTGATTGGAAATTCAAATTATGTGCAAGTGTTGAACTAGCTAAAACAGTATGGTGCATGTCTACAACTAAAATTAGAACCGATTTGTCGTTACAAACGTGATCGATATTTAATTCTCATAGTGATTTTCGTGCACCTACAGAAGATAAATGTTAACCCATGATTTTAAAATGTGCTAGTTGTGACTATTTTTAAGTCTATAACATGTTTTCAATGTACGTTGGATGGTAGAAAATAACTAATTTTTGTTACATGATATTTTAACAAAAATACGGCTTAGTGTCAACGGAAATTGAGTTGAGTTGGAAACTATGGGCCATCTTATTTTTTAATTTTGGTATTCTAGAGGTTGGTCCAATTGGTGAATAGGATGAAATGCTCTAGAAAAAACAAAGCACTTGGAATTTTAGAGAGGTGAGAGTAGTGTAGTATCAAGGACGCGATGATGCAACAATAGCTCAGAGGGTGTAACACCCCCGGTGTTACATACCTGTTTAACAATAGTTTAAGGCTTAATAAAACCTAATAAATAAGTTTTCTATGCTTGGTGATAAATTCTTGCATAAAATGATACGATACATGTTTGTTTAAATCACCTTTGCAAATATAGTCAACATGTGTGATGTCAACCAACCTCGATTTTGTGCTTAAACATCTCTAATGAGTTTGCAAACAAAAGTTATTTAGGGTTCATGTTGGGAAAATGTGGAGAAAATAATTAAAAATGCCAAAAACCTTACCTTGTTTTAATTTCTCAATAGCTTTTTGAAGGATAAATAAATAATTATTTTATATAGAAACTATAAAATATGTGGGTATGAAAAACTTAGTTTAAGTTTCATACTTTGCGGTAGAGTGCTTGTTCAGGCCTAGTTTAATTGTTTGATAGGTTAATTAGTGCTTTAAAGTTTGAATAAAATATCATTTCCTAGGAGACTTACAAAGTTTCCAAGTGCTTAGTGTTTTCACCGACACCGCTAACTTTGGCCCTAATTACTCGTTAATCCGCTGTCCTAATGACCTTGGCCCCATAAGCAAAGTTGTAGTCTACAATTTGATGAAGATCTTTTGTATAGGACATGTGGGAACTAGGTCTTGATCAAACTCGCTGCACCGGACGTCAAAGAGGAGCACATGGCCACTGCCACGCCCACGCCCTGCTCTGACCTCGCCCATGCCCTACCTTGCCCACGTCGCGCCCCTGCTCGTGCCCATGGCCGCCCATGCTGTGGCAGAACCGTCCGAAATAGCACGCTTCCGAAGGCGCTTGTCTTCCACCAGACACTAAGCACCCCGAAAATAAGCTACATCAGACGGTTCCGTCAAGCACACCCCAAGGGAGAACTCGAACAATCCACGTTTTTCCTCTAGGATCCAATAATGAGAACGAGTTTATAATACTTAGTCCATTTCATACATCAAGAGTTCTCAAAAATACATTATTACAATACCAAGTTCAGAGTGTAGAATTTAAACAGCAGAATTTAAAATAAACATCTAGCGATAAGACACAATGATCTGTCTGAGCTACACCTGCAACAGGGGTAAATAAACCCTGAGTACACAATGTACTCGTAAGACTTACCCGACTAGTGGGAATAATTTTCCTACTCCAAAGGATATGATAAGCTTTATGGTTTGCTGGGTTTCCTTTTTTTTGCAAAAAGCAACACTAGTAGTGAATCTTTATGTATGCATTTTATTAGCAGTCATGATTAGTTCATTAGCTAACCATTCTATGTAAGCACCTGTTCTACTTTCAAGCAAGAGTTGAGCAATCAGATCTATTTCACCACCTTTCATCTTCTAGTTCTTACTATGGTGCTAGATCGTAGACAAGTCGTACCGTATTACACGACGATTCATGAATCAATGTAGCCCAGCTAGGTACCTCAAAACACACACCCCGCTTGTACCCCAGGCACAAGCAGGACCAACCCACCACTCTCCTATCAAGGGGTCCACGTCCCCGTTCAAACTTGGACTCCAAGCCCCCACACCTGAGTCCTGGACTCAGTGTGGTGCTTAGACCTTCACCATCCCCGCCTCTAATCAGTCAGTCCAAAAAGAGCTAGAAACCACAACAAGAGAGCAATGAGCCTTCCCTGCTCCCATAAACAAGTATATGCTCATGATAATAAGTCCGTGACTTGACTAGAATCTAATGCAACGGTCAGTCCTTAACCAACATGGATAGGGAAAATAGTGTAACCAAGCTATGCCCCGTTGGCCGTAAGACATAACCTCTTATACCCACCAATACCCATACCATATCCCTGCCTAGTCTCTATTTCTTTTTCACCATTTATCATGAGAGTGATAATAATAATCACCTATTGCGAGTAACGGTAGGTTACTCACGCTACCGATAGCCTAAGCATAGCAGCGACTCGACCTATGCTAGTAGGACTCATAGGTAGGTTTATCTATACATGTAGTTTCAACCATAAGCCTATAACGTAAATGCACATCACATATATAGATCTAATGATTATTCAAAATAAGGGTTATGCATCGGGGCTTGCCTTGGGCAGGCGGGGTGTCAGCTCAGTCAGTCCATGGCGGCTCTGGGACCTCCTCCTACATGAGGATCTCCTCCTCGTACTCCTCGATTACCTCCTCGAACTCGTGATCTCCGTTGGTCACGATCTCTACCAACTTGTTCTCTACATGCATGCGATGATGATGCAACACTT